CCCCCCCCCCCCAGCTCAGCAGTGTGGAGGGGAAGGGAAGGCTGCTCTAGTGCCCCCCGGCCTCTAGCCTGAGCCACTGCAGGTGTGCGTCTGAATTTCCTCAGTCCAGAGAGAATGTCTGTCCAGTTGCAAACCAGTTCAGCCTAGCCAGGCTAGACTAACTTGCAAAGATTGAATTAATTCGGGCTCAGGTTTTTTAATGTCTGTCCCTAGCCTAGGTGTTTATCACACTTTAATTTGTACATCCCAAGTTTAGTTGAATGTCTTCAACTTTCCTGAGTGTCCTGCAGTAACTATTTTAAAAACAAGAACTATTTACAAAACATCCTTTAAATTAGTTCCTGGCATGAATGACAAAACAGTGATTGACCAGGCTACCTCCTGGGTATGCCCACTTTTCTTAGGCTCAAAACGAGCTATTTTTGGTACACCTTGACTGCAGGACTGAGTCACAGAAGAAAGAGTCTATAACAAGGTTCAGACTGGTGTTCAGCTGGATACATTTTCTTTTAGATAAGGTCAAAAGCCAGCAATGTTTGGTACAACCATAAAGGGGTGTACCAAGTGGTAAATCTCATCCACTGATTCTTACAAGCAGCTTGATATGTTAGGTTGCTGAGACCAGTACCTGTCATGTTGACCTGTAATATCTCATCATTTCTTTGAACTCTTAATGTGTCTGTATCCATTTATTTAATCTTGTTTTACATTTAGTTTGTAAGCTCTTTGTGGCAGGACAGACATACTGTTTTGAATATGTACAATGCCCAGCACAGTAGGGTCCTGATCCATGACTAGGCCGCGTAAGTGCTAAGGCAATACCAATGATCATTTATCAATAACTCTATAGCTCACCTCAAACAGGGGAAAGACTATTTTAGCTATGCATTAGAATAATACTATATGCTAGTTTTAAGAGGTGTCTAATCTGTCATCTTCTCTCATTAAGTAAGAGAAAGTACATTGGTCCTGCTCTACTATCTTCCATGGTGAAAAAGCATTTGACAAGATCAGTTTCTATTTCATCTGAAGAGTTAATTTGTAACAACTAACTTTTAAAGTTGCTCAAGATTGAAAAGTTCTGCCCTTTAGACTCTAAGGGCATAGATAGCTAATATATATACTCCTCTCTCCTACCCTCCCCCAATCGTTAATGAACATTTAAAAAAGAGCTCAACATACTACATAATACCTTGAAAAGCTGTGAACTTTGAACATATTATCCTCTTCCTTCTTTCCTTTGTGTTCCAGAGTCCTTTCTCCCACACATACTTAGTAAAATCATCATGAATTTTTTTTAATTTTTTTTTTTTTTTGGTGCAAAAGGCTGCAGGTATTTATTGATACCACTTCTAAATCTGGCCAGGTAGATCAGGAGAGGATAGCTGACCCAAGCATTTTCTTCCTGGGACTAACACACTTTTTCAGTTTTTCCTCCACTGCAGACTGTGTACAGGCAACCCCCACTTAGCACTCTTAATTGGTTCCCAGAAAACTGAGTGTTAAGCAGAACAGCATTAAGCAAAACCCATTTTCTCATAGGAACTAATGTAAATAAATATAATTTGTTACCAGGGTGCCCAGCACATGAGCAGCTGGTAGCTCAGAGGCAGCTCAGCCAGCGCCATGCTGTTGCCGCCCATCTGGGCCTGGGCTGTGGAGGCAGTCTTGTAGGTCCCTTCCATGCTGGGTGGTGAGCGGGGTTGAGGGGGAGGAGCAGTCATGGCCACAGTCATGGTCACTGGGCAGCGGGAGTGGGGTGCAGCATCTGGGGTTTCCCAAGTGCAAGTCATAGCCCCATAGTTCCTGGCTCGGGTGCAGGTGGGCTAAATTGGACAATGAGGCTGCACACCACCAATGCACTGTGGAGCTAATGTAAGTTCCCTGCTTGATGCCCATAAGTGTTATAACAAAACTCGCTGAGTACTATGTGGAATCGGGTATGAATGTAAAGCAAGTGCTATAGCAAAATAGAGTTAAGCGAAACAGTCTTCATGGTTGTTGTCTGTAAGGTACAGGCAACCCCTGCTTAATGCTGTTTCTCTGGGACTAAGTACAGACATTCAAAAAGCCCAAGGCAGAATCAAAGCTACATGGTTTTCTGTAAGTGGCATAGTTTAGATCTGTAGCAAACAGAACACAGATTCACCCTTGGACATGGGGGGTGGGGTGTCAAATCTTAGACCAGGTTCTGCCATTTTTAAACCAGTCTATGTGTGCCTTAACTTCTGTTGGGTTAGGGGTATAGATCAGTTTTGTGTGCCGAGTTTCTGTTCTGTTATGGGTATAGACAAGTTTCTGATCACTTATAACTCTAAAAATGTAATGTCTGTACCTGGCCAGGGAGTGTATGGCATCTAGCATGTTAAAAGGCTTCGCAGGTATGGGGAGATCCCTCTTTCTTTCTTGTTCTGTGGCCTGTCAGTCTTGTACTCTGCATTATTCCTTGCTATACCCCCATGGCTGTCTACTATGACACTTTCTATCGACATGAAAAAATACTAAATCAACAATTAGCTGTACACTAACTCAACTGCAAGTGATTTGAAATAACAAGCCCTGTAGCAATGCCAAAAGTAAGTTTCAATTAAAATGCTCATCTCATTCCACCCTTGGTCACATAAGTGCAGTTCCTTCAAGGTAAAACTCCATTT